CAAATCAGAATTATGGTTAAGAAGTACAGCGTTAGTCCCGCTTTTTCCACTCTGTTCAACAGAACAGTGAGCAAATGAGTCATTGTCCTAAAGACTGGACTGCGGCGTACTTAATCATTAATGTATGGAACAGAAAGCGCGCTTCCTCTGATCGTGCAACAGCAGATGGTGAGTCTTGAGGACGGTAACTGGTGGCTGGGAAACAACGACCGTCGGTCATACTGGTCGCATTACTGCAAAATAGATGACCATCGAAAGGGACTGGAATATTCGTCGAACCGAAATGCCATGTGACTCATGCAGACAAGACGAAAGGGCACTGTGTCTCGTACAATTCAGGTTTCCAACAGCATCGATGACAATTGTCAGAAAAGTGCGCTCAATGTGAAAATGTCAGTTGAAGCAAAATTTACTCGTCCCACAATTACCATGTAATCCTAAGTAGTTTCATGCGGCACTTCCAATTCCGTCATCAGTGAACTAGTCCATGCGCAAATCATCGATTTACCGTGCACTACTTTTAACATAGCGACGACTGAAAAAATGTCACAAATCAACCCGCTCAAATAATACAGCTTAAAAAAGTTCCAAGTTCTAAATACTGCCTCGGAAACCAGGTCAATGGAGGTTCATAAAACTTTTAGCATTCTCTGTAAGTTGGATTCGCTAAAGAGGATAACGGAACCTTTTCCAAAACCTCTGAGTCACAGAGAATTAGTAGAGGTGGCCTCAAACACGCTTCACATATCTATCGACGCGTTTCTTCCTCATACAACTGAGTTAGCCGTTCAAACGATTCATCCAATTCCGCAATGATGTCGTCATCTGAGGCGAACGTAGCTTACGCAGGAGAGTAGCCCAGATTTATGACGTCTGATCGTCGGAAAAGGAACTTCAGATTGATATTGGGCATCGTTCACTGCTGCTGCAAAGGTCATATACATCATTTGTATGCAAGTTTGCCTAAACGATGTGTTTAAATGTTCTGTGTTGTCCCCTAATGCGCTGAGGCCTGGGCACGGTTCCCAAGTGAGGAAATTTTTGAACATATTTTCATTCTCCTTTTGGACCGTTTTATGAACCCGAGCTAAGCACGAGTGTTCGAATACATCTGATCGTTTTCACAAGCCGGTGATTGTCAACATCGGCTTATCCGTGACAAAGCGAGACAATCGCTCTTTCAGGATGTTGCGCCAGACATTGTTTAAAACTGACCAAACAAGCCTCATGAAGCTTCACAACGGCACGCTGAGAGATTGTACAAAAATATTAAGAACACGACTGTTTTCACCTGAAATTTGCATTCGATATTACTTATGTATGGACCAGAAGGACTTGCGTCATCACCATTAATCCTTAAAGATGGCACGAAAAATCAGATCGAATACTCCTCAAGACAGAAGACGATAACCTACAGCTAGAGAGAAAGAGGATTACGACTATCTCGAGTAGGATATCAGTAAACGGGGAAAAATTGTAAAGCTGCAAACCTTGACAGCTGTGCCAGAACATCGGGTTATTCCTTTCTTTTATTTTCTGAACATTTTCCCCTTGGATGGCTAGCGACGAGAAAAAGTAACGTCATCTTGGTAAAGAATGACAACAATTGTATTGGATGCACTTATAGAAGATTATTGTTTTAGAAATTACATTCACACTTTAAATTTGAATAATAATAATAATA